AACAGAGTCCCTAGTCCCTTAGAGTTTACGTTTTAGTTGGGAGAGATAAATAATAGGTAAACAAATATAAAATATGCTATAAATACCATGAAGAAAAATAAAACAGACAAGGGGAGTGTGGAAAAATAGCTATTTTTGATAGGATGGCTAGAGAACGCTTCTGAAAAGGGTAACACTTGAGCAAAGACCTTAGTGGGGTGAAGCAGTGAGCATTGTCCATTATTCCTGATGCTGTTGTCCTTAAAGGTTAGTGGTACTTTTTTATTGAGACAGTTTTTTTTTTTCAGTGAACATACAAAACACATGTATGAAGGTTCACAAGTTCACTTTTTCTAAAACATTTTATTACAAAAATTTTAAAATATTTGTTATAGTGGACACCCTCATACTCACTACCTGGATTGTACCATGAATGTTTTACCATCCTTGCCTATTTCCTATCTAACCATCTATCTGTACCTTTCCCATCATAGATTTAATTTAATCTTGTGTCCTTACCCTTTGTTCCGTAAGTTCTTAAGCGAATCAGTCATGAATTTCTTTTACCACAGGGGCTTTCAAAAACTTAACATTTATGAGTAAGAAGAAATTTTATATTGTTATGGATTTTGATTTTATTTTATTTTGTTTTTTACATGTAATTCCTCAATCCATTTGGAGTTTATTTGGTGTGGTATGAGGCAAGAGCCTTGCTCTTGTTTATTTCCAAAATAGCTGGTTTCCCCAACACATTTGTTAAACAATGCAGCTTTTCCTATGTTGACTGGTCACTTTTTAAAAATAATACAAGTTTTTATATGCTCATATGCCTGCGTATTTTTCAAGATGTTTCTTCTATTCCCTTGGTTTGGCTATTGATTTATTTTGCTAGCACCTCTCTTTTACAATTTTGTTTTATAATACATTTTAATGCATCATTAGGCAAGTCACCACCAGTTTTCTTTTTCAGAATGTTCTTAGTTGTGTTATGTCCCTATTCTTGAAAATAAATATTAAAGTCACTCATGTTCTAAAGTATATATATATTTTTTTTTCCTTTTTGTCTTTTTTCGTGACCAGCAACGGATCGCAACCCTCTGTGTTGCGCCCATACCGGACTGGGACCGGCAACCCTCGGTGTTGCGCCCGCACCTCGCTCAGCCAGTGAGCGGCCGGTCTGTATGTGGGATCCGAACCCTCGGCGGGAGCGCCGCCGCGCTCCCAAGCGGCGCACTGTAGCAGTGCGCCACCGGGCCGGCCCCTATAGTATATTTTTGAAGTTTAATTAATATTTGTATTTTTTGCTATTTTGAAAGGAATCTTTCCTCATCTGTAAGGGTATAATAATAATAATCTTTTGATAAGATCGTTGTACAGACTAAATAACATACACATGAAGTGTTTAAGATGGTATATCAACTCAGAGCCTGTTCTGATTTTACAGAAGTCTCTAAGATTTATTTGGGCCACACCTAATTGCAATTATTTTCTGTAGTTTCCCAGATACATTTTGAAGCAAGGAAAAAATACTGTGGGTTATTACCAATTCAGAAATCAAGCACATTGGAAGAGGTGAAGTGGCAGCAATACTGGATAAGTGTCTCCCTGCTCTTGTTGTAGGACACTGTAGTAGTATGACTGTCCCTCAGGAGCCCTTCACCCTCATCCCTACTTCTGCAGTACCATTCTGTATGGCCAGCGGTGGTCTGGGGTTCAGATTGATGTTCACACTTACATGTCACAATAGGCTGGAATCTTGCATCAGTTTTACTTAGCTTTATAGAAGGATACAGTATAGGATACATAGTGTATCCAATAACAACATCAAATGTATCTTTGTCAGAGGCCTTCCAATTGCCTAGGCATTGGCTGCCCAGCCCACAGAAGGCACTCTGAGCTGTGAGTGATGAGACCAAGCAGGTAGGTGTGAACCTCCCTAGCATGGGAAGCTTAACACAGCAATTGTATTTTTAGAACTGTCCATGAGCAAATCTCCCAAGGCTCCAGAAAGACACCTGTATCAATCAGGGTTCTCCAGAGAGACAGAATCAATAGGATATGTTATAATTATATGAGAGGGATTTATTAGGGGAATCAGCTCATGGGACTAAGAAGAAAAGTCCCACAATAGGCCGTCTCTAAGCTGAATGCTGGTAGCGTGGCTCAGTCCACGTCCAAAGGCCTCAAAACCAGGGAAGCTGATGGTGTCCTTAGTGTAAGTCCTGGAACCCAAAAGCTGAAGAGTCTTGAGCTCTGATGTCCACGGACAGGTGAGAAGAGTATATCCCAGCTCCAGCAGATCGAGAGCTTCACCTCTTTCCTCTGTCTTTTGTTCTCTCTGGAAACCCAGCAGATTGGATGGTTCCCAGCCACACTGAGGGTGGGTCTTTCCCACCCAGGCCACTCAGACCCTCATACTAATCTCTGCTGGAAACACTCTCACAGATACACCTAAAAAGATAGCTTTACCAGGTTTCTCAGCTTTCCTTCATCTAACCAAGTTAACACCTAGAATTAACCTTCACATACACCTTTGGGTAGAAGAGAGAACACACAGACGCTTGCATTTTCTGAAAGTCTTTTAAGTTGTCCTGGATGAGAAAAACCCTCAGGACCAAGTGCCTGTTCACACCTCAGTCCAGATGCAGCTCACTTCCAGGAGTAGCTTTCACAACAACCTGACACAGCTACCATGTCACATTTATCTTTGCCCAGTATGTTTCAAGGAAACAGTATAAGGAAAAGGTAAAACTGAGATCATCTTCCCATGAAGAATAGGTTTACCCTTTTGTAATCCTTTTCTCCTCACCACCTCAACACCCAGTTTCTGGTTTTGTTCCTGGAACTGTAGTTTTCTGACAGGAAAAGGCTCCAGAAACTCCACACTGCTAAAGAAAACCTGTGCCATTCCCTTTACCAAGATGATGGGGGCCTAAGGATTGTTCCTTAAGTGAGTCTCCTGTGTGCCTCCTGCTTTCACTTCTCCACGGTGGAGTGTGGCTTTCATCATCATCTGATACAGTCTACTCCAGCTGACTGTGGTGTAAAATTCTCACTCAGGAAAGGGAAGGATTGGGGCTATCACTGGTGGTTCTGCATGCTCCCTCATTAGCACTGTTTTCAACAGAAATTCCTTCAAATTTCTCCTGTTTCTTCCTGATGTGGTCCCTGCTTCATCTGAGTCTAAAGTTTGAGCTCCCTGCCCACAGCACATGCCACTCACCTTGGTTATATGTCAGTACTGTTGTTTGTGTGCCCAGAATGACCTCCCCCGACTTGTTCCCGAGGTCTCCTTGTGCTCCTCTTTCCAGTCTTGGCATCTTGGTGAAGCCATCCCTGTTTTCAGGTGCTCTTCCTTTTGAGGATGGACCCACTATGGTGGACATTTCTCCTTTGTATGTCTTCACAAGACTGGCTGTTCCTTTTCTCAGTGCCTTGTATAGAGTAGACTTCCAACACTCATTGCATTGTTCTTAATGTTTAGGAAGTAATAAATGGTGGAGAGTTAGTATCCTAAGATTATGTCAGCCCACACACATATTTCTCTTCCCTGATTCTGCAAAAGCAAATGTCACCAACAGCGCGTTAATCTATAATGCCCTGATCCTTTATGCAAAGAATTCTTTCCGCAAAAAGTACAGTAAAGGTGGAGAAAATGGGAAAGGCTATGTTTATTTTTCCCCAAGAAACAGTTTCTCTCTCAGATATGCTTGTGCCTGATCTGAGAAGAAGATTATCTCTCCTTCAGTTTGTAATGATGGAAACTAACAAGCAGTGAGCAATGAGAGAATATCAAAGAATGAAAAAGAAGAGAGGGTATTGCTTATTTCTTATTCTACCAATGTTTTCTTTGGCTCCCAGAATGGAGAGCTAGAAGTAGGGTCAGCTTTGAGATTAAACAACAACTGCTGTATTTTTGTTGTTGTTGTTGTTGTTGTTAAAAATTACAGTTCCATTATCATTTCACTGATTCACAGTGGCTACTTGATACAGCTTCTGTGCCTGTTTTCTTTGTGGTTGCCTCAGAATGAGGGAGTATAACAGTTAGTAGCTCACATTTATCAAGCATTTGCTACATGCCAGGTGCTATGTTTAACACTCCACACATCTTAACAATTTAAGCATCATAATGGATACAGTTAGATGGATACTGTTGTCATCCCCATTTTACAGGTGAGGAAATGGTGATACAAAGAGGTTAACTGTCTCAACTTCACAGTCAAGAAGCAGCCAAGTCAGCATTGAACTCAGCTTGGCCCCAAAGCTTATGTTCTTACTCAACACACTATACTGTCTCTTCCACATTTATTATCTGCTTTTGTTCCATACTGTTATTTTAATGTACAATAGGAGATCTTTTTGCAATAATGGAGCAACCGTTTATGTATACTATGTTAAGGTTCTTAATTTCAATCAATCCCTTCATTATTTCTCTCTCATTAAATTATCTGTCTTTTTTTATTGAAACATAGTTGATTATATATATATATCTGTGGGGTACAGAGTTGAATATCAATACCTGTGTATAATATGTGATGCTCAAATCAGGATGATTAGTATATTCAACATTGTACAGTATAATCGTTTTTCATGGCCCTTTAGTCCTTTAAAATCTAAGTGCTGAATTCACTTACCTGAATTTGTTAAGAGTTGTTTATGTTGTGAAGTCTTTAACTGTAGAGACTAGTCTATGTTTGGGAGGTCTAATCTAGCCCCAAGCTTCCCCCAACCTCCAGTGAAATATTTGGATGGTAGTCTCCCACTAGGATTGATGTGTACTGAAAAATGATTTATTATTTTTGCTTTTGTTCATTTGAGTTTCAGAAATTTGATGTCATAGTATCTCTTTTTAAATATTTTTCAACTTTATTGAAGTATTATCGACTCATTTTAAATATTTTATCTCTTTCAAATGTAGTTTAATTTCAAAGTGTGTTTCACTGAATTTGTTTTTGCTAAAAATACTGTCACCATAATTTCATCCTCTGGTTGTTTTAACAGCAAGTCTTATCTACCTACAGGAGAATATTAAAAAGTGAGCCTCCATATCCCCAGGAAATGAGTGCTTTAGCCAAAGACCTAATTCAGCATCTTTTGATGAAAGATCCCAAGAAGAGATTGGGATGTGGTCCACGTGATGCAGATGAAATCAAAGAACATCTCTTCTTTCAGGTGAAATTTATTGAACAGATAGATGGTTTATACCCCCTGCTATTTTCTGGGTGCTCGGCATTCTTGGTGAAATTGGTGAACACAGTCCCTGTTGGGGTCATTTTCCCTCTATTTTTTATTAAGGGAACAAGGGACCCTTTTAGGAAAGACCTGAATTCTACTCATATCGACCTATATGGTCTTTTTCGGAGTGGGAAAGGTCATAATAGCATTCAGTTTTCTACATACTAATTGGTTAGAGTTTCTGAGTAGTGGCTTCCAGTTATGATCTTGTGATTTAGGCATATGGGCTAAGGAGACTTTTATGATATTTTTTTACTTCTCTCTCAGTTCATGAGCTGTTACTGCCACTGTGTTCCACCTTTTAGATAGTGATTTCATCTCTTCTTTCTCTTTTCCCAGAGAAAAATCTTAGAAAATTTGAAATCTACCTATTTCTCATTTATCTATGACATATAGAGAGTTATTCATTTATTTTCTTTGTCCTTGTGATAGTGCTTTTCTTTTTTTTTTTTTTTTTCCTTTTTGTCTTTTTTACTGACCGGTAACGGGATCACAACCCTTGGTGTCGCACCCATACCGGGGACCGGCAACAGGATCGCAACCCTCGGTGTTGCACCCACACCACGCTCAGCCAGTGAGCGGGAACCGGTCTCCACATGGGATCCGAACCCTCGGCGGGAGCGCCACCGCACTCCCAAGCAGCGCACTCTCCAGTGCGCCACCGGGCTGGCCCGATAGTGCTTTTCTTATTCTGAAAAGCCTAATGAGACCCATTCTACAGAGCAGTAACATATCTGTTCAATTTAGTCTGCTCAACTTAGTCCAAAAACACCAAAATATTAAATAACTGAAAAAAAGTTATATTGACCAAGTTGACTAGTTGTTTCAGTCTAAATGGTCAAACCTGGGATGCCAAGACCTTGATTTCTAAAACTCTGAGCATATGCCTTTTAAAAATTTTCATCATATCAACAAGCATGACCTAAATATCTATGGCCTGAAGGGACCTTCTGGGTTTTTGGGTTTTTTTATTCTGCAACTACACTTTTACATTATCATCACCAAAAGAAATGAGAAGAGCATACCAAAATGAAGAAAAAACTCTTCTGTCAAGTAGATTTTCATGTTATTATTTATTGTTTTTTACGTATAGAAAAACAAATATTGATTGAAAATAAGAATCATTTCCCACACTTCTGTGCTCAAAAAAGGGCATATTTATTTCAGTCTCTCAGTGTAACAATTTTTTAAGATATTACTGCACAGCTTACAATAGTTTAGTAAACATAGTAAATACATTTAGAATAAAATTAACTTCTCAGTATGTGCATTTCATATTCATATGGCTTGGGAAAATTACTATTTGAAAAACTATTTCAAATATCTTGTTTAAAAGTTTGGCTTAAAAATTAACAATCAGATAAAATTCAAGAAACTGTTCAAGCAAAATACACCCAATCATATTCTCTAGTAATCTTTTTCTCCATTGTCCCCTGTATTTGTGAATATTGCACTATGTCATTCACATTAGAGAAATTTCTCTTTTTGATAGCTTGGAATAGTAATTTTAGATTACTTAATTGCTTTGACTTTTTAAAGATAAGGACACTTTCAGAAAGTCTGGAATTCTACTTGTTAAGACCTAATTGGTCTTTTTCTCCGTAAATGGAGCAGGAGTGGGAAGGATCGTAATAGCATTAAATTTTCTAAACATTAAACCTCCTTCTACCAACAAAATATTTCTTTAAATTACCCCTTTACTCTAGAAGTTTCTCTTAATGTATGTACAATAGCCAAGCACAAATCATATGCTTGTAATGGAAAATATTATAGCCACACAGAAGAAAGAACACTAAGTAGAAAGTCAAGAGACTGTATTCAAATTATGATTCCTCCACCAAAAAAAGAAAAAAAAAAAAAGTGAGAAGTTTAGTTCTTATTTCTGGACTTGAGTTTCTGTCTGGATCAAATAAAGAAGATGAATGAAATGATCACTACAACCCATTCTAGCTGAAAAATCTGAAGATCCGTAATTAAATGATTTTGTTTTCATTGCTTCTACAAAGGAGCATAATAAAAACATTTTATGGTAGTTGATTAAACTTGCTGAATTTCATCAACCAAGAAGTGGAGGTTTTCACCTTTTACCATCACTGAAATCATTACACATCTTACAGTGGATGTCATCTTACTGTTCTAATTGGTAATGCTTTTTTCTTTCTTAATGGTATGTAAAATAACGGTGTATCTTACTATCAATGACATCTTAGATTTGAGGAAATATGGTAATAGGAGATCTGTAGGATTCAATTCAATGAGTATTATCTGAGGTTGTTTTAAGTAACAGAAGGAGAATTAAAAAACAGCAGAGGGTTGGATTTGAATAATTATAAAGCATATCTGTTACTCAGACACTAAGTGTCTCACATGGGTGGAAATGGGGCTTGGATTATCTTATTGGGGAAATGAGAGGCAGTGTTTAAAATGCTTGAATACAATTGAATGATAAAAGAGTGATTACATCAGTATGATAGTATCATTTAAACTTGAAGACATAAGCAAATGCATGATTTGAAGTGAGTTTATTTTCTAATCTGTCCAGATGAACAGGAAGAAAATCAAGTACTGGGGGAGAGCTAAGTAACCCTACCTCTAGAAAAGAGGAATATTTCTTTAGAGTTAATATTCATATCATAGCATTTTGAAGCCTTTTACTGGCTTTTTTTTTTTTTCCTTTTTGTCTTTTTTCATGTCCGGCAACGGATCGCAACCCTCAGTGTCGCGCCCGCACCGGACTGGGACCGGCAACGGGATCGCAACCCCTGGTGTCGCACCCGCACCTTGCTCAGCCAGTGAGCGGGAACCGGTCTGTATGTGGGATCCAAACCCTCAGCGGGAGCGCTGCCCCGCTCACAAGCGGCGCACTGTAGCAGTGCACCACCAGGCCGGCCCTTTACTGGCTTTTTTTGTTGTTACTGTTTTATGTGGGGTTTTTTGTTTGTTTTCATTTTGGTTTAACACTTTCTCAAGAGGCAAAGGACAAATTATTTTTCTATAATCTCTAAAGGTAAACTAGGGTGTCTTGGTGCCCCCCGGAGGACACTATGAGACTCCACAGTGATGGAAAGTAGTGTCATCTTTCAAAAACGTTGGCTGGAGCTATAAGTTATCATCAGAAAATGTGCTCTTGTTTAGAAAGACAATATTTTTAATCATTGGTTTGAAATATGTGCCCTTATTTTTAGCCTCTTTCCCTATTAATTAAAATCCTATTCTACCTTTGTTATTCTTTCTCTTCTTTAGAAAATGAATTGGGATGATTTAGCAGCCAAAAAAGTACCTGCACCATTTAAGCCAGTCATTAGAGATGAATTAGATGTGAGTAACTTTGCAGAAGAGTTCACAGAAATGGATCCCACCTATTCTCCTGCAGCCCTGCCCCAGAGCTGTGAGAGGCTGTTTCAGGTAATCTACCAAAGTGTGCACGTGTACATTGGCCATATGTGCTTTGGAAGAAAAGACTTCAATTTCCTATATTAAGGTAGTTTTGTTAACACCTTAAAAACAGGATTCTCTGATCTCTTCAAAATTATTAAAAGCGGAGATATTGCATATTGTTAACATAAGTTTATGGTTTGCTAAATAGCAGATATTGTTTATGTGTATTTTTGATATAAGGAAGTATTAATTTTATACTTGAAATATTATTTTTGTTTTGGCTCTTTTATAGAAATACAACAATGTTTTACCTCTATTTATATAAAATATTCTTTATTTATAAACAATGTTACCTGATTTTTTGTCTTCAGTGAATAATTTTATTTCCAACTCTTAAAAGATTCTAAAAAGATTTTATAGTTAGAAAAGGAACTTTAGGGCCGGCCCGGTGGCGCACTGCGATAGTGCGCCGCTTGGGAAGCGCGGCGGCGCTCCTGCCGAGGGTTCGGATCCCACATACAGACCGGTTCCTGCTCACTGGCTGAGCAAGGCGCGGGAGCAACACCGAGGGTTGCGATCCCGTTGCCGGTCCCGGTCCAGTACGGGGGCGACACTGAGGGTTGCGATCCGTTGCCGGACACAGAAAAAGACAAAAAAAAAAAAAAAAGAAAAGGAACTTTATCAGATGTAAGATAAAATACTCGATTAAATAGCATCACAGCTTTACTTCTTTGACTCCTATGAGTATACTTTTAGTATGGTTTAATCTGCCCTCCAGATTATGTCTCTTACTCATTCCATATTACTGTCTAGCACATGACTGGGTACTTAGTAGATTTTTTTTAAATGTTGATGAACTATTAAATGTTCTAGCTTAAACGGATTAATCATTCATCAAAGCACGTTTGGCTCAGCACATCATTCCACCATTAAATTTTTCCTTCCAAAACTCAATTTTGAATTTAATTATTCTGGAGTAAAAGAATGAGTCAAATAATTGCTGAATTAGAAACTAACTTTAATGAAACTTGCTATTTTTCTAGTTTGAAAAACAATGGCACTTGGACCACTTTGCTTATTAATACCTTGACTATATTGTTTTTGAGACAAGTTGTGATTGTAAGTGAAATTTTATTTATCAGCAATGCAAGAGATTTGCAGCTATGAGTCAGATTTTGGGGGTGGAATAGGGAAGAAGTCTGTTCCACATTTATTTTGAATTGGTTTAATTCTACCAGAAGATGGCATTATATTCTTCTGAAAAGCATTTTTCTGTTGATTTGAAATAAGTTTGCATTTTGGATTGCAAATAAAATAAGATTAGATTTATCTCAACAAATATTTGAGTGTTTTTCTAAGAAAAAAATTATCACAATCTAGCTTATGCTAAACTGGAAAATTGCAAGTTTTTGTTCTTTACCTTTCCTTTTCTTTTTTAGGGCTATTCCTTTGTTGCTCCTTCTATACTATTTAAGCGTAATGCAGCTGTCATAGATCCTCTTCAGTTTCACATGGGAGTTGAACGTCCTGGAGTGACAAATGTTGCCAGGAGTGCAATGATGAAGGTATAGAGAAGTGTTTACTTAAATGATATATTTGTGCTTTGCATGAGTGTTTAAATACCAACACTAATTAATGTTCTCAAGTCCAGTAAATTAGTTAATAGAGTTACTATTTGAATAAAGTGCAATTTCAAAAAATGAATGAATGGAAATAGCAATATCTGCCCTAGAGAATTATTAGCATCAATTTCAATGAGCTCCTTTTTACAGTGATAGAGAATTATGTATCCTAAATAAATGATATAGATGAAAATAGAAATGAGCTAAAGCAAGCTGAATTTTAGATTATAAATGTATTCCATTCATATTTATTAATATTAATAATTTTATATTACTCTACAATTTTATTTACCCCTTGTGTATTACTAACATTTTCTTAAGTTAACAATGTTGATTTCTTATCAGGATTCTCCATTCTATCAACACTATGACCTAGATCTGAAGGACAAACCATTGGGAGAAGGAAGTTTTTCAATTTGTCGAAAGTGCATACACAAGAAAAGTAACCAAGCATTTGCAGTCAAAATAATCAGCAAAAGGTATAACCATTTTTAATAGTCTGTCTTATGTATTCATACTAGTTTATAAATTCTGTCAATTGAGATATTTATTTAAAAGAAAATCAACAGTATATTGTAAGGCTTTTTACCCATGGGTCTAACCACTTGGCTCATCAGATGGTCCATTATAATTCTAGCTCTAATAGATATTTTCTGATAATCAATTTCAGATATAAATTGTAGTCTGATATGCTTTTGAGCTCATTATGGGGAAACGTCCTTGTGGCGTTATGTGTTTAATCAGACTTGCTTAGTGATTTCAGCAGCTATTGCCATTACTATTAGTTGTATATTTGAAATACTTTTCTCTGAAAGTATTTAGCAAGCTACTGGTAGCTTCGAGAGCTAACTAGTTGTTTTGATAATTGATTATTACCTTCACAATTGTATATTCTTATTACCAAATTGTCAGGCAAGTAGAGCATCCATTTCTTCATATGACAAGCTCTTTTCTGACTCAGAAATAATAAATTTCTCCAGAATAATATATTACTTTTTCTGGTGGGTGGTATGACTCATTGCTTTCATGGAAATCTCATTCTGGTACTTTGACATGTGAATTCTGAATGCACTGCAAATAAAAACAAAATTAGGGTTGGGGAAGTTCTAACATAAAAACTTGCCTGGAGAGACATGTAGACACTAACGGTTTGATCATGCAGGATGGAAGCCAATACTCAGAAAGAAATAACAGCTCTGAAACTCTGTGAAGGACACCCCAATATCGTGAAGTTGCACGAAATTTTTCATGATCAGGTATTCCACATTTTTTTTCTGTGTGTACTTATTCCCATGCAAGCTTCTACCTATCACCAGTTTTGTTGGTGCTGCTGGGTCAGAGTCAGGGATATGGACATCACCCAGCTACCAGAAAGGGCAAAGAACGTCCCCCCATATACATTCTGACCCACCCCCAAATCAGTTCATCCTTTCACTTCTGCTTTTTTCACACAGCAGTTGCCACATATGACGTGGAGGACAGAGAGGCAGAAGCTCAATGACACTGGCAGTAGTGCAGTGTGCTTATTGCCAATACAGCTGCTACCCACCATAGCTTAGTCACCACATACCTCTCAGTACTCACTAATTTTGAGCCTTCAACTTTCCTTTCACTTCTAGAGTGGAACTTAGGCTTAGGCCTAAGTACTGCAAGCTAAAGGACAAATAGGAAAAAGAAGGGCAAAGATATTCCCTTTTAGGGCCGGCCCGTGGCTCACTCGGGAGAGTGCGGTGCTGATAACACCAAGGCCCCGGGTTCGGATCCCAACCGCCTCTGCTTGGTTCATTGGAACACTTATTCTATTTTATAGTATGAAGTGTTTCCCGACTGTAGAATCACAATAAAGCCAAATGAGGTTTAAATTAAATTTGCTGTAGGGCCGGCCCAGTGGCTCACTCGGGAGAGTGCGGTGCTGATGGCACCAAGGCCCCGGGTTCGGATCCCATATAGGGATGGCCGGTTCGCTCACTGGCTGAGCATGGGGCTGACAACACCAAGTCAAGGGTTAAGATCCCCTTACCGGTCATCTTTTAAAAAAAAAAAAGATATTCCCTTTTATCTTCTTGTTTCACTTGGCAAATTCTGCTCAGACCCCAGGCCAGATCATGCTGCCCCCTCTTCTACTTCCAGTCCTGCTTTCTAACAAGAATCTGCCACAGATACATGTCACTTGGGACTTCGGAGGAACGCCATTGGGTAAGGTCCACATCTCCTCTCAGTCTTCCCACTGCTGCCTCCCATGACAGAAATCGCTCCATTACAGTATTCTTTCCCCGAGACTGGGTAGGATGACACAGTCCTACTCAAGACAACTTGGAGGCTTAAGAGCTAAAACCAATCCTGAATGTGACTTGTCCTAAATTTTCCGGTGAAGAAACTGAGATTCCAAAGGGTCATGAGACTTGTTCAAGATCACACAGCAAGGTGGTGAAAATCTAGTAGAGAGAAGCTGGTCTCCAGTACTGGGCTCTCTTCATTGTGCTGCCGTAACATCCATGACCTAGGATAGCTGGGGCCCAAGTCTCTACCACAGTGAAGTCTCCCAACGAACTATGGCCTGGAATGTTACATTCCACAGAAACTCACAGAAGTGAAGTAACAGGGTCTCACACTTTGTAATTGGTGAGGCTGGGATCTGAACCCAAGCAGTCCACTTTCAGAGCCCAGCAGCTTTTAATTACTTTGCTCTGTTGCCTCAGAGAAGATAGAAACAGGCTGATTTTCCCATCAGGTAGTGAGCATCCAAAAATGGCATCATCCTCCACTTGCTCTTTGGTTCTCATAGTCAGGAAAGGAACACCTTTGAAGCAAGAACTCCGAGGAACTGCTTCCCCTGCTCTGCTACTGCATCCGTCTCATCGAGCTGCTCAACTCTAGTGTAGGTAGTGAGTCCCCTGTCCGTGGTATGGAGGAAATTCACATGGCAAAGGAACACCTTTGAAGCAAGAACTCCGAGGAACTGCTTCCCCTGCTCTGCTACTGCATCCATCTCATCGAGCTGCTCAACTCTAGTGTAGGTAGTGAGTCCCCTGTCCGTGGTATGGAGGAAATTCACATGGCGGTCAAGGAATTGATGGATGACCTTACATGTCTCCCTCTGTGGTTTTGCAGCTACACCTCTAGTTACATCCCAAACAAGATGTTTGATCTCTAACCTTCAGACTAATGTCAGATCTCAGGCACCACATCTCTGGGTTTTTATTTAGGTCACAAGTTAACTTGGTTATTTGCTATTTTTATATTCAGTAGTTACTAGAATATAAATATTCTCCTGATATAATCCTATACATACTAGTGTAAATATTTTATCATTCTAATATGTAGTTATTGAAATATACCTTGGATTTTTCTCAAGATGGTGACACAGTTGCCTAGATCAATCCCATATTCACAGTCTTCAACTAATGAGTGAAATTGACAGGGGGTGAGTCTTCAGCCTTTGACTCTGTGGTAGTATAGTTCATTTTGTATACCATGATCTGTGCTTTATGTACTCTATGAGTTTCTTATTGCTGCTGCAACAAATCACCACAAACTTATAATACAAATTTATCGCCTTACAGTATGGTAGGTCAGAAGTCCAAAATCAGTCTCACTGGTTTAAAGTCAAGGCATTGGCAAGGCTGATTCCTTCTGTAGGCTGTAATGGACAATTTGTCTACTTGCCTTTTTTAGCTTTTAGAGACTATCCACATTCCTTGGCTTGAAACCTCCCATTCAGCACTCTAATCTCTTGCTTCCATAGTTCCTTCTCATACTACTGACTGTGATGGATAATCAGGATAATCTTTCCATCTGAAGATTCTTAATCACATCTGCAAAGTCCCTTTTTCCATGTAAGGTAACAACCACGGGTTCTGGAGATGAGGACATAGACAATATTCAAGCTAACACACATTCATTTTCTCATTGTTATCTACATTTTATTGATAAAGGACCTAAAGTTCATAGAGGTAAAGTAACATCCCCAGAATCATAAGTAAGTACTAGAACTGGTTTGACTCTAAACCTATCTTTTGAACTGCTGTCAGTATTGCCTTCCATTTTTTTAAAAGCTCAGCGGCCTATACTTGTAGCAGATCTTCAACCCTGACTTTATTTGTCTGATGTAGAAACTCAAATTAGCTTGATTTCTAGTAGCCTGGTAACATTTTTCTTATTAGAAGGGTTGTTCACCTTTTACAATTTGTCCAATATGTTCAGGATAATGTCCTTATAATTGTCTTTTTTATCAAGCAATTTTTCTGAGTTTTGCTAATTCAAAAGGAAATGTATTGTTTGTTGAGTGACATTGTTATAATGCATAACACCTGAATCTGAATATCACCATATCTTTTTCTAGACTTTTTGTATTCATTTGAGAGCTGATATAAGTTGTTTGCTTTTTAGTAGCTCCTCTGTTATTTTGTTTATGGAAATTTATGCAAAGTATAGTAAATATATAACTTTTAAAGTAACTAATATAATGCCATTGGGATCAAAAGCAATTATTTTTTTAAAAAGCCACAGTGATTTGTATTTGTGGTAAGTATTAACAGGAACCCTAAAACTAATCTGCTGAGCCCTAATGGGAGGTTCAAAGTGATTTTGTCAAACAATACCTTTTTTAAAAGGTAAATTTGCCATTAAATGGGTGTGCCAGGCCTTGCATTGCCTGTACTTGTAATCTTCTATATTATTTAAAGTAGATGATTGCACATTGTTGTCAGCACTAGGTCACACTTTAAAAAGAAAGAAGTGTAAACTTGATAGAGAAGGTTGGAGTGGAATTCAAATGAAAGAATTAGTCAAGGAAAGGATATATAAAGATTTCACTGCAATGCTTGAAATTTTCCATTACCAAAGTAGAATTCTAAAAAAGCCACATTATCCTTCAATTCTTTCATCTAAAATACAAGGATTGCTGTTGATTATTTTAATGAGAGATTATTTAAGTTTATTGGGATAGGTAATAGTAAATGTTTTATATGTTAATAGACTTCTACTCCTCTTTATTAAGACCCCCCACATTATTCTTTTTCTTTTCTAGCTTCACACATTCCTAGTAATGGAACTTCTAAACGGAGGAGAGCTGTTTGAACGCATTAAGAAAAAGAAACACTTCAGTGAGACCGAAGCCAGCTACATCATGCGGAAGCTTGTTTCAGCCGTAAGCCACATGCATGATGTTGGAGTGGTGCATAGAGATTTGAAACCTGAGGTATAAAATAATGTGATCTCTTATGTATTTCAATCTAGCATCATTATTAAATATCCCCCCAATATGAGGGTACTTCAAAAAGTTCATGGAAAAATAGAATTAAAAGAATTTTACGAGTCTTTCCATGAACTTTTTGAAGTACCTCGTATGTATGAGGTGGTTTTTTTTTTTTTTTTTAACAGCCCTGAAAGTAAAGAAAAAAAAAAAAAAAACCACCTCATACATACGAGGTACTTCAAAAAGTTCATGGAAAAATAGAATTAAAAGAATTTTACGAGTCTTTCCATGAACTTTTTGAAGTACCTCGTATGTATGAGGTGGTTTTTTTTTTTTTTTTCTTTACTTTCAGGGCTGTTAAATAGATGCACTACTTAAAAATTTGTTTTTCTGTTGCAGTTTAAAATCAATTCGTCTCTTTTTTGTTAATTTTTTTTTTTTTTGCCAGAGGATCGTCTTGAGGTTATATTTGTAAGTGTGAGAGCCTTTTATGGAAGAAATACTTTATGCAACAGTTGTGGATTAAAAACAGCAATAGAAATTTTTGTAGCAGATAATAATATCCCTTCTATATGTGTTCCATTTTAGAGGGGTTTTTTTAATGATGTATTTTGGAAGCTTATTTTTCACATTTGTGATCAAATCAATTAGCTCATGAATAGGAATGTGTATATTTTCATTCTAAATACTCGAGCATAAAGAATTATCTTGGTTTAAACAGTTACCATCTTTATATATGCTTTTCTATGCTCATGTACTATAATATTTATAGAACTGTGCAGCAGTTCAGAAGAAGCAGTTTTTTATTTATTTCTTCTTCCAAAAGGCTAAGAAAGAAGGTTCTAACTCTAGAATCCTTTTTAGGATCAAATATATAAAAATTTCTCTCTTTTAGAAAATCACCAAAGTAATAATGAAAATTGAAAAACAAAAACCAATGATTTGTAAAAATATAACAATGAATCATCCTTTATTATATGCAAAATTATACATATTTTCTTTCCAAAATAGAACTTTCTTTTTAATTACTGCTTGATTATAATGCACTTTCAAATATATTTAAAATATTAATTTGATTTTTTTTTTGTTAGACAACAGAAGAATATTTTTCTAAAAGTACCAATTTTGCCTTTTATTTAAGTACATTGGATTATTGGAGAAAGAGGACGTTTTTAAAATGGAATTCTGTGCATTCAAGTATAACTGATTTATTCTTTTAAAGTATTTAAATTTCTATTTACTTTCTATTACTATTATTCATATTACTAGTAATTAATCAAAGTGAACTGTGTTTCATGAACTTGCAACTATGATAGCTCTCCCTTCTGCTTCCTTCTTCATAGTTCTCACTCTCCTACATAACGCCCACTGAAAATATGGTACCCTCTACATTGGAGATTAGCTGTCTATTTTTAAATGTGAAAGCACATCGCTTAAATGTTTTCTTTATAGACACAGAACAAGCATGTAGTTCTTTTAATTGAAAAGATCTGTTCCATGACTGTATATAATTCATTTTCACATGTTTTATTCTTTGATAACCGGCCATCTGTCAGCTCATGAGTCTCAAATGAGGCAGCCATCCTCTCCAGCAGAATTTATGTTTGCCTTCCTACTTTCCTGATAAAAAGGTTCTTATGTAGCTTAATTCTTCTTAATTGTTCTAAGGTTTTTCTTTCAAATAGTCATTTGAAATGAAGCAGAATTATCAGATTATTTAGGACATCCTACTACAATTAGTCCTAAATAAAACTATATTTTGGAGACGTGAAAATGTACCTTTGAACTAATATTTTCCTGGTAAGATTGCTTTTACTTAGACTTTTAAGTGGCAGAGTATATTATTTCCAAACTAAAAGTTTAATCCCTTTCCTGTGTAGCATTTTAAGATCTGATTATATATCTTTTAGTAGATAGTTGTGTGGAATTCATTTTCTGCATTGGCAAAATCCTAAATTCTAGGTGAGAATCATATAAATTTAGAAACTGGATGACATTCTTAGTAGTTTGCTTTGTAATTTTTCAAACTGGTTCCATACTCTTGAAAGATTAAGAAAAGTTGTATACATCAAATTAGTTTCAGGCAGAACTTGAGATGAGGATAGAGAGGATTGAATGGTTACTTCCTACCATTCCTGATCATGCACACCCACCTCCATGTGGAACTGTCTGTAATTCTCCACTAAGGAGGGAGGCAAGTGAGCAGTGTGTTCCAATTTTACATGCTTAGGAGCAGGAGGGATGGATTAAAGTCACCAAATTAAATTGAGTGCCATGTCCCTTCATTTCCTCCACTTCAGGAACAAAGATCAAGGCAGTCCCTCACCAGTCTTAACATGGAGTAAAATTAAGTCATTTCCAAAGGCTTAGCAGGCTCAGTGAAGACAGGGACCAGGTGTGTTTCATTTACTGCTCTGTGCAGCACAGTGCCTTGCACTGCAGAGGAGCTCAGGTGTTATTTGCTGAGAAACTTCTCCCAAGCACATGCCCATGAACCTCAGCTGTGACTTCAGTTGTCACAAATTCAGGACCAAGCATAGTATAATAGAAAATTAAAGAAAATTTTTCAGTTAATTTTTTTGCTTTTCTTTCCTCCCACTTTATTCATTTTCAACTTTTAAGTGGAAGACTTAGAATGCTTTTCTTCTTTGAATCAGTGAGGCCTTCTATGATGTCTTTTATTTCAGCTAGAATAGTATTAACAAAGCAAATGATATTAAAGAGCTGGGAATAATTTAATGAATATAAAGGCACAAAAGATTTTGTTAGGATGTCTAAAGACAATATAATCAGATTCACTTACTTTAGGTAAGAGCCTCATATACTGATTGAGATGCTAATTTGTACATCAGTACAGTTAGTATTTATTAAGCATGCAATATATACAAAAATAGTACAGTAAGGCCGTAGTGATCTAGAAGCCTTGGTGGATGAATGATTGAAAATAACAATGTTTTCTGAATATTTGTGGGATGATATCTCTAAGCATCAAAACATGTTTAAGTGTTAACTTTTGAAGAAAGTATTTTTGAAATGTAATGCATATCTTTACCATGTCCCCTTTAACAAACTATACTACATGTTGTATAGCTATTTTATTTACAATGTAATTCAATGAACAGATATTTACCAAAGCACCTATTTTCTGACTGTGCCAGGCCCTGGGGACAGGGTCGTAAATAATAGTCTCTTCCCTTATGGAATTATGGTCTAATGAGGATGAGGACACTAAACTAATAATACAGAGGTGATAAGTACTAGAAAGGAAAAGTAAACAGTGCTAGGAGAAAATATAAAAAGTTCCAACTTCAGTTTGGCGGAATGGTTATGGTGGTGTCTCTAATGAGGGCTAGATGTACCTGGGCCACGTTGGAAGGTAGGTTGGTGGAGGAAGTAGAGAAAAATTCAAGCAGAGGGAAAAGGGCAGACAAGGGGTATGACATCAGAAGAGTCATGGTGCAGTCGAAGAATGTTTCACATGATGTTATAAAAGTGAAATAATACAAAAAAGTATAAAACAGAATAGCAACAGTACATTGACATCCAGCTCCCAGACCCTCCCCATGAGACTTCTCTCTGCATGAATCAAATATCAGTGTACAGAGAGATAACGTTACCTAAATGGAATCAGCAAATCCCATGACATTTCAATGAGAAGCTAATTTAAGTGTTGGTTATCTTGCAGAATTTATTGTTCACTGATGAAAATGACAATCTGGAAATTAAAGTAATTGATTTCGGGTTTGCACGCCTAAAGCCACCCGACAATCAGCCTCTTAAGACGCCCTGCTTCACCCTTCATTATGCGGCCCCAGAGCTCTTAAATCATAACGGCTACGACGAGTCCTGTGACCTGTGGAGCCTGGGTGTCATTTTGGTGAGTTTGTTTTGACAGAGCCATTAAACCTGATCAGTTCTTTGGTGTCCTCTGTACTTACCTCTCTCTTCACTGTTTTTCTCATATTCATGAAAAAATTGGCAAATTGGTTTCTTTTCTGTACAACCAATTAGAGGCCTGACTGAAGAATATTCTTTCTTAAAATTTACTTAGAAAAAAGGTTGGAATTTTTATTTTGGTTTATTATGAAATATTTAAGTTAGTTGTGTTTTATATGAATTAGAGTTATATATATTTTTTTAGGAGAAGCAATAGTTTACTTTCAAAAGATATGCATATTAGATTGGATATAAGGTGAAAATAGCAAAGTGACTCATTAGTAGAAAACCATTAAAAAATATTCTGTGAGATTTCAGACTAAAAATAATTAAAGAATATTATTTAGGACAAGTTAACAAATTAATAGATAAAATTAGAAATGTTTGTAGTCCATCATGGTAAGCATACTTTTCAGAAAATGTCCTTGGCTGTTATGTTTAGAAAAGAACATTAAGCTAGAAAAATCTTGGTGTTTTTTTTTCTCAGAATAGTTGTACTTCTTCTGCATGTAATTTGTAATGCATGATCTGAGGAGGAAAATTTTAGACAATACAGAAAGATATGAAGAACAAAGTAAAAATCACTCATAATCTTACCATACAGAGATGCTATCGTGCAAGCTTTCCCTCTCCCTCTAGCCTTTCCCTACTGCGTATGCATGTGCTTTGTGTCTTTCTGAATGTTATTCTATACATATATATATTTGAGTTTTTTAACAAAAGAGATTATGTTATACATGTAGTTTGAGTCTCAGAAATTTATTTAACCATTTCTTTACTAATGAGCAGTTAGCATTTTTTTCATTTTTTCACTAATTATAAACTACACAAATGAGTATTTTTTAAATATGTGTTTGCTTTTGTCTCATTCCCTTAGGATAGATTCCTAGGAAAAGGGTATACAAATCTTTATTTATTTATTTATTTTCCTTTTTGTCTTTTTTTTGTGACCGGCAACGGATCGCAACCCTCAGTGTCGCGCCCGTACCGGACCGGGACCGGCAACGGGATCGCAGCCCTCAGTGTTGCTCCCGCACCTCGCTCAGCCAGTGAGCGGCCGGTCTGTATGTGGGATCCGAACCCTCGGCGGGAGCGTCGCCACGCTCCCAAGCGGCGCACTGTAGCAGTGCTTTTTTCATGTCCGGCAACAGATCGCAACCCTCAGTGTTGCGCCCGTACCGGACCGGGACCGGCAACGGGATCGCAGCCCTCAGTGTTGCTCCCGCACCTCGCTCAGCCAGTGAGCGGCCGGTCTGTATGTGGGATCCGAACCCTCGGCGGGAGCGTCGCCACGCTCCCAAGCGGCGCACTGTAGCAGTGCGCCACCGGGCCGGCCCTACAAATCTTTATTTTAACGTATGTTAAATTTCCTTCTACAAGATTTGCTAGATTATGTTGTCAACTGTATGGGAGCACATTGGAGGATACCAATTTTAATCTTAAATTATATTCCACTGTTATAATTTGCATGCAGTTCTTTGACGAATATTCTGTTTGAGCATCTTTTCACACATTTGGACATTTGTACTTTCTCTTTTTTGAATTGGTCTTTATGAGCTTTGCCTATTTTCCTATGGTGAGTTTTGGTTTTTTTAAATGAATTTTAAAGCTGTATTAAGGATTTTAATCCTTTTTTTGCTACTAATATTAGAACTGTTTTTTTCTAATTTGCCATTTGTTTGAAAACTTTGTTTATAGTTTATTGTAATTTTGTTTTTTGGAGGGGTTTAAATAGAGAAGTTTTTTTTTATTTCTATCTAGTAAGATGTGTCAGTCTGTTTTTTTATGGTATCTGGCTTTAGTATCAGATTGTCACTCCATCCCTTCCCCCGAACCACGATTATAAAAATATTCTCCTAAATTTTCCTCAAGAATTATTATATTTTATTTTTATACTTAAATCTGTGTTCCATCTGGTATTTATTTTGGTATCAGTTTGTTTTCCCGCAATGGCTAGTCACTTGCAGGATAGTTCTTTTATTTTTAAGCTTTACGTGGCTTTCATTACAGCAGTTTTAAGTCATTTATAATTTTCAAACTAAACTTACATATTTATGAATATGATTATTTTTAATAAAAATAAACTAACTTTTGTACATTTGAGAATTTCATATAAGGACTTAAATTGATAACATTTTTATTAACGGCATTGTCCTAAAAAAATTAGTCCAAATAAAAAAGAGCCTCTTATTTTTAATAATTTTCTTTGCTGTTGTGAAAAAGAACTTACTTTAAATATAGGCCAGTTATGACCATCAATCTTTTAAAAGTTTTAAAAGACAGTCTTAGACATGCAGAGAGATATTTTAGAGCATTGGAATGTCATATCCGTGGAAATAACTTTGTGTAATGGCATGGATGGAAGCAACACTTCCCTCTAGATATAATTGTCAAATTTTTAATAAAAACAGGGACATAAGATTAAGTGATACCACAGGAGTACAATCACAATATCCAGACTGGGGAGTTCTATAGGACAAATAACCTAGTTTCTTCAGCAGGTAAATTGAAAGAAAAGATAAACTGGGAACCTGTAGATTAAAAAAAAACTTAAGAAACAATGTTTGCAACTTATTTGAATCCAGATTTATGCAATTTCTAATTTAAGTTCTATTTATTAAATTCAAATCCAAATGTAATTTATGTAGGTGTAATTTTATATATATATATATATATATATATATATACACACACACACACATACAATGTATATAACACAGTTAGGGAAATTTCAACATTGCAGAGATATTGAATGATACAAAGGAATTACTGCTAATATTTTAGGTATGATAATGGTGTGGTTATGATTTTTAGAAGTTCTTGCCTTTACAGATACATGATAAAATAGTGTGAGCATCAAACTTTTTTCCATATTTGCTTTTTCTTTCTCTCTAATTCTCTTGTGTGCATACTCTCTCTCTCCATATATAGTCATGGGTTGCTTAACGACAGGTATATGTTCTGACAAATGTGTCCTTAGGTGATTTCATCATTGTGTGAATATTATCATACAGTGTACTTACACAAACCTAGATGGTATAATCTACTACACATTCAGCTCCATTATAATCTTATGAGACCACTATTGTATATTCAGTCCATCGTTGACTGAAATGTTATGTGGCACATGACTATGTATATGTCTGTATGTGGACGTATTAATACATATATAGACACACACATATATGTATTTAGATATATATCTTTATCTAGATGTATACCTATACTTTTGCTGCACCACTGGCAAACAATTTGCAGACACAAAATTATTCTTAACAGAAGTTGACTGCTAGATAATCAACTAAAATTGTTAGATCTTTGAGTTGAGAGGAGCCTAAAGTTTGTTTAATTCTACCTCTTCCAGAAAAGGGATCTTTTCTACAAAGTCGCTGATCACAGTCTCCTCTTGAGTACTTCCAAAAATGGAGAGTTAATTTTTCCACTCCATAACCTGTGGCAAGTTAGAAAGCAAGAAAACTATATTTGTAAAGGTTGCTTTCTTATTTTTAGCCTCAAATGTACATGTTAGGAAATGGGTAGATTTAAGACACAGAGCAGACTTCGGAAAACTATTTGGCAGTATCTGCTATTTTGGTCTGAACATATGCAGACCAAACGATCCAGCAATTTCTATCCCAGTAATATATCCAACAGGAATGTGTATACAGATGTGCCTCGACTTGCAAAGGGGTCACATCCCAATAAACCCATCATAAGTTGAAATTATCACGTTAAGAATATCATAAGTCAAAAATGCATTTAATACACCTAACCTAACAAACATATGAATAAGATTTCTCATCAGAAACCTTAGAAGCCAGAAGGCAGTAGACCGATATGTTCATAGTGCTAAAAGAAAAAAAATCTGTCAACCAAGAACCCCATATCCAGCAAAACTGTCCTTCAAAATTATGGGAGAAAGTAAGACATTGCCAGATAAGCACAAGTTGAGGAAGTTTATTACCACTAGACCTGCCCTGCTAGAAATGCTCAAAGGACTCCTGCAGAGTGAAATGATGGGCCACTAGGCAGTAAATCAAAGCCATATGAAAAAAAATGGTGTCAATAAAGGTAAATACATGGACAATTATAAAAGCTAGTATTATTGTAACAACGGTTTTAACTTCACTTTTTGTTTTCTGCATGATTTAAGAGACTAATGCATTTCAAATAATTATTGGTTTGTTTGTAACAGACACACAATATATAAAGTTGTAATTTTGTGATATCAACAACCAAAAGAGGTAGGGATAGAATTGTTAACGGAGCAGAAGTTTTGTATGTTATCGAAGTTAGACTGGTGTAAATTCGAGTTAGAGAATTGTAATTTTAGGATGGTTTGTTTGGTTTTTTGGTGGCTGGCTAGTTTGGGGATCTGAACCTGTGACCTTGGTGTTACAAAGCTATGCTGTAACTAACTGGCCAGCCCTAACTTTAGGATATTATAACCAAAAAGAAAATAGCTATAGAGTATATTCAAAAAGAAATTTAAAAGGAATTTTTATTTTTCGCTACAGCGAATCAACTAAACACAAAAGGAGACATTAATGCAGAACATGAGGGACAAAAATGCTATAACGCATATAGAAAACAAATAGCAAAATGACAATAAGTTCCTACTTATTAATAATTACTTTAAATGTAAATGGATTAAGCTCTTCAATCAAAAGATAGAGATTGGAAGAGTGGATTAAAAACAACAACAACAACAAAAACCCATAATCCATCCATATGCTCTCTACAAGAGAATCACTTTGGATCCAAAGACACAAATAAATTGAAAGTGAAAGAGTTGAAAAGATATTCCATACAAATAGTAACCAAAAGAGAGTAGGGTGGCTATATAATATCTGACAAAATAGACTTTAAATCAAAAAGGTCACAAGAGACAAAGACATTGTATATTAAATGGTTTAATACAGCAAGAAGATATAACAGTTACAAACATTTATACATCTAATGATAGACCAGTAAAATATATGAAACAAAAACTGGCAGAACTGAAAAGAGAAATGTAGAGTCATATAATAATAGTTGGATACTTCAGTACCTCACTTTGAATAATGGATAGAACAATCAGAGAGAAAATAAATCTTCCCCATCAATCGAGATCCGTGGATCTGTGAACTGATGTAGATACAGAAACTGGGTAAGGGACACTGACTCCCCTCTTTTAGTAACTGTTGTCAGCCCTCTATTTCTATTCCTCAGGGGAAAATATGTAAGTCAAGCAACATTAGTTATGTGTCCATCTCTCCTGCCCTTGTAAACACTGTGACCTGTTAGCCACAGTCATAGATCCCTCAAAATCAAGGCACCATGACTGTCTCCCAGCCTTGCTTTATTGCCTGTGATAGTTATGTGATGCCACTTGGCTTCTGCTGTCCCAAAATGCCATCATCCTTTTGACGCTAGAGAGCTCAGTCCCATGGCAACTTCTTCCACCATCAGCCCTGGCCTACAGAAAACAGCAACCATCAGGCTTCTCTTTGTAGTCCTCTTCTAACCAGTGTGTTTCTTACTGCCTCTGTGACAGGAATGTTCTTTAAACCCTCCCTGAGGGCACTGGCAGGTGGTGGGTTCTCAGGTCTTAACATGGTACATTTCCTCCAACACTCCCTTCACTGATGATTTTGACCACTTCTTCAGTGGTATGCCAAGGAAGTTCCAGCATCCCACCTAACTTGCCCTAAGTCATCATTGTGTCCAAGCTTCCAGGAGCCATTTCAGGTAGGCTGATAGCACTGGCTCCAGATATCTCTGCCAGAATGTTGAATCTTGAGTCTCAGATGAGTATTCCCATAGCAGTTCCTTCTCCATCAGGTTTTGTGTTCCATAAAAAGGGAGTGTCTGGGATGCCGGGAATGTTCTGTTTCTGGATATGGGTTCTGGGTTTCAGGTAGTATTTTGTGATGTCATTAAGTTGTACACCTTGTGTTTCGCACTTATCTGCATGCATGTTTTACCTAAATAAAAGTCGATTTTTAAAAAATCAGGCTGAGGGCCGACCCCATGCCTCACTCGGGAGAGTGTGGCGCTGGGAGCGCCGAGGCCATGGGTTCGGATCCTATATAGGGATGGCCAGTGCGCTCACTGGCTGAGCACGGTGCGAGCAACACTGTGCCAAGGGTTACGATCCCCTTACCGGTCCCCCCCCCCCCAAAAAAAAAAATCAGTCTGAGAAAGAAGGAGGTGCAGGAAGAAGAAAATAAAAGAACTGTGTAGGGTTATAGCAAGAGGGCTTAGATTGTGTCACCCTCTTTATAATATCACTTGTTACCTTTATTTTGTACATGAAGAAATGGTCTAAGAAAGTTTAACTACTTTGCCAAGGTCACAAAGCTAGGAATTGAAAAAGCGGTTGTTTGTAGCCAGATCTGTCTGACTCTGAAGCTTATTTCCCCTTTCTGTGCCATGTGTCTTCTCTCTGGAGTAAGGTATGACAGAGGACAGAGACCCCAGTTACCCGTCCTGGAAAGCTACACCCCTGATGGGTGGGACTTTGCCAGCTGGAGAAAAAGAATGGCATTCTAAGGAGACTAGGTAGCATATGCAAAGTCACAGAGGCCTAGGAACTGCTGGTGCAGAGTGTGAGATTGGAATATGCCGAACTGCAGAAGCTGAGGCTGAAAAGGAGGCGAGTCAGAGCTTGAAGGAAGCCAATGAAGAAATTTGAAAAAGGGATGTTGTGATGAGATTTAAATTATTTAACTCTCATCTGGTGTCTGCATGGAGGGTAAAGGAGGGAAGGAGTGGAAGAGGGGCAGGTGGAAGCCGTGGAATCAGTTAGGAAGGAGACTGATGCCGCATAATCTAGACCAGTTACTCCCAGACTATGGGCTCTGGTTGAGTCGGATCTAGTCATAGCCTTCCTTCCATATCAAGGATTTAGGTAGTATATTAGGGTTCTCCAGAGTGACGGAACCAATAGGAGGGAGAGAGACAGATGGATGAGAAGGGGAATTGGCTCACATGATCGGAGGCTGAGATGTACCATAACAGGCTGTCTGTAAGCTGAAAATCCTGGGATACTGGTAGTGTGACTCAGTCCAAGCCCAAGATCTCAGAATTAGGGAAGCCAACAGTATAACTCACAGGCCTGAGAACCCAGGTGGCCAGTAGTGAGTCCTGGAGTCCAAAGGCTGAAGAGCCTGGAGTTCTGATGTCCAAAGGCAGAGGAGAAGGGTGTTCCAGCGCCAGGAGAGAGAGAGGAAGAATTCACCTTTCTTCTGCCTTTTTGTCTGTCCTGGACCCCAGCTGATTAGATGGTGCCCGCCAACATTGAGAGCGGATCTTCCCCACTCATTCCACCGAGTTACATGCCAATCTCCTCTGGCACACCTAGAAATAATGCTTTACCAGATGTCTAGGTATTCCTTAATCCAATCAAGTTGACACCTAAAATTAACCATCACAGGGTGTTTTGGGTTTTTTTTAAGTTGTTTTATCTTTGTTCTTCAAAATAAAATAAAAGTTTTAAAAATGGTTTTAAATCTTGATATCATAATAAGCCATACCACTTTATTTACAACTCTTTAAAATGTGCTAGTTGCTTCAGTAATAGAAGTAACTCAGTCTTTTAAACCCAATAATGCTAGTTATAATAGTTGGTAAATTATGCTGATTAAGTTAGTAACAGGATTATTAGAGTGGCTTTGACAGTGATTTTGGCAGTCATTCTGTTCTGTTACTCTTTTTTTTCTTTATGATAGTATACAATGTTGTCAGGGCAGGTTCCCTTCCAATCTCATGACAGAAGTTTGACATGTACCAGTGCAGTGGAAATCATGAAGAAAATTAAAAAGGGGGATTTCTCCTTTGAAGGAGAAGCCTGGAAGAACGTATCTCAAGAGGCTAAAGATTTGATCCAAGGTAAGAATCTAATGAAAGTTTACATTTTCTGTGACGTGTAGTGATGGAAGTGGAGTTATACCCATTAGATACATATTTGTTTGTTAATTACTCAGGAATCCATGTGTGTTCTAAAAAGGTTCCCAGGCTATTTGCTTCAGCCTTATTTTCTTCTTACTGGAGCACTCTCTCTTAGTAATCTTATCCACTTTTCCAGCGTGAATTAGCACTTGGTTCCCATTAGCATCTCAATCAAACACATCTGAAGCAAACCTACACTTTTTTACTATCCTTTCCCCAAACGTGTTCTTCCTCTTGTCTCCCCTCTTTTGGACAGTGGCACTGCTAAGTAGCCAGATCACTGAAGCAGAAACCTAAGCGTCACCCTTGATACCTGCACCTGCCTGGCCTTGTACAGCCAGTTGCTAAGTTCCACAGGTTTAGCAGCTCTCCCGGTGATCTCCTTCTTCCCATTCACATGCTGGTGCCTTAGTGCTTGTCATCAGTTTTCTCTTAAAATCCTCTAGTATCCTTTCAACTTATCTCACTTCTTCTCACTTTACCTGTCCATCATCTGTCGACAGAGTGAGTTTTCCAGTATCTAAATGTGATCAGGCCTCTTTTCTGTTAAAAATCATTTGGTTAGCTTCAGGTCAAACCCCTTAGTGTAGCATTCAAAATTCAAAGCTCTTAATGACCTAGACTTGTCTTTCTCTACTTCCTTGTCACCCTTGCTCTGCCATTGCAGAATACTCGAATTCCTCACATGTGCCAAGCTTTTGGGTTCCTCCAGGTCTCTACACAACCCTCTTCATCTAGCCAGCTTCTCTTCATCCTTCAGGACTCATCTCTTGGAAGCTTCCAGGTGCCCACCACTCCCTAGGCTAAGCCCTTTCCCTGGGCCTGCTAACATAGTGTGCCTGTGTATTTTGCCATTGCACTAGTACTCTGATATTATAATAACTGTTTTTTGTTTAAGTATCTCCTGATAGCTCCTCTTTGAGTATCTCTAGTGCCTTCCTGGACTCCCTGACTTGTGGAAGGTAAATGTCTGGTACATGAATGAAGTAGACCTGGGTGCTCTTTGTTCATTTGGAGCTTACCAAGTCACCAGTGAGAGTCATTGTTTTGAGCAGTTGTTTTCTCCTGAATGAAAGTCCAGTTAGCCTACAGCCACCTAGAAGTAGGCTGCTGTAACTTTATTATTAGCATCTAGAGGATTTAAATGCATATGAAAATGTAATTATCTTCAGAAGAGGTTGAAACCTTATAGAAACTATCGTGTCATAGAAACAATTGAGATTCGGTCTAAGGTTGATTTTAAACAATGTTTAAAATGACAAATCATAAAATAAAAATATCTTGTTTTTTCCCACAGGACTTCTCACAGTTGATCCAAATAAAAGGCTTAAAATGTCTGGTTTGAGGTATAATGAATGGCTTCAAGATGGCAGTCAGCTGTCCTCAAATCCTCTGATGACCCCAGACATTCTAGGGTCTTCAGGAGCTGCTGTGCATACCTGTGTGAAAGCTACCTTCCATGTAAGGCTCTGCACTCTCCACATGTTAGGCAGTTTTAGAAGGAATCATCATCAGATGTTCTTACTCTGTAGCTTCACATACTCTTAGTGATACGTTTAAAATAATGTGTCTTTTAATTGTAGGTATATCTTTATAAACACTTCATGTTATAAATACTTTATTAACAGAAAGTGCATGGGGTACCAGAGTCACTGCTAAACTACAAAATACTTACTTGATATTTAGAATGAATTTGTGAGATGAGACAGTAGTACAATATTTGAACAGTTGAAAATTTTCAGTAGGTAATGAAAAAGCATGCATGATAGAACTTTTTTCTCTCAAACTAAATCGTCGTCTTTAAAAACGTAAATAAGCATTAGGACCTAAGGCATAGGTGAAACTTGATTTATTCGAGAACCATTAGTGCATGACATATTCTAGAGACTGAGGAATATGAAGGCAGTTTGTTGGTATTAAGTATAGATTCTGTGTTTGAAAGGCTGCAACCACATGGCAGTAACTGTAGATTATGCACATTTGTGCCAAGCAGATACAAGTACATTAAGATAATTAGCATAAGGAGTAGGTGAGTTAGGGAGAAATAAAATTACCTCTGAAGGGATTACCTTGAGGAAAGAGAAGGGATAGCACTGCTTCTTCAACTGCAGGAGTGGATTAAAAAATTAATAAACTAGGAAATGTCGAGGTGTAGAGAGATGAACTGCAAGAATTTGTACCAGGTGATCCAAATCTTCTCAGTGACATATGACACAAGGTTGCAGAAGTACTGCCCAAGGCTAAGGAAAAGTAAAGACAGGCTGCTGTGAGAAGGAAGCCAGGGTGAGATTGGTAGAGCTAAGGTTCTCTGTGCTTTTTAAGTGTCCAAGATATAACCAAATGACACTGAATTGGAAGTGGAGAGCAAGGACCCATAACAGATCAAGTCTGCTCTGTGCTGAGACTTTGTGGTCAGAATTTTTAACCTTAGTTAGACACAGAACCAGTAAAAAGTATGGTGGGGTGGGGGGTTTAGATTACTGACATTCTTCAGGAATTTCCAGTCAATGGTTTCTTATTGGGATGTAGTGCTAACTTCTTCAAAAGATTTCTTAGAATCATGACTCCTGGACAGCTTAGCTGGTTTGATTTCAACAGAGCCCTCAGAAATAATTTCCTGTGATCTTTTCTCCTCTGTCAGGAGGTTTGGCTATAAAAGATTTAAAAGCTTTGTTCCCAAAACAACTTGGAGCTATATTTGCCAACAGGAAGTTATCTTCTTCTGTAAGTCATAACTGCTAAGAAAACTTCAATACTTTTACCTTGACAAGGGTTCCCTTTTTTTCTCCCCTAGGCCTTTAACAAATACAAGAGAGAGGGGTTTTGCCTTCAGAATGTTGATAAGGCCCCTTTGGCTAAGAGAAGGAAAATGAAAAAGACTAGCACCAGTACGGAGACACGCAGCAGCTCAAGTGAGAGTTCCCATTCTTCCTCCTCTCATTCTCATGGTAAAACTACACCCACAAAGACGCTGCAAACCAGCAATCCTGCTGACGGCAATAACCCAGAGACCCTCTTCCAGTTCTCCGACTGAGCAGCATAGGAATGGTAGGAAGGTAATCAGTGATCCATTGCACCTTTATTTCCCTCAGCATATGCCTGAGGCGATGTTTTGTGCTTCTAAAAATATGTCCCATTGGAATCTGCCTCAGTGAATTTTTTCAGGAAAACCGTTTGGTTATCCTTGTCCAAAAGCACTGGACAGAGAATGTTACTGTGAATAGAGCACATTATACTTTTTAGCAGCCTAGCAGGATGCCAACAGGACTACTCTTGAAAGAGCAAAGGATTTTGTAGCTTTAATTAGGGACTGGTTAGATTTGAACTGCTTACAAAGTAAGTCACAGGTTTTTCGGATGTCTGCCAACAAGAGTTGACTTGTACTGTGATGATGCCTTTTGCTTTGCCTTGTGGACAGTGGGTTTTTAAGAGATTTACACCTTTTGAACAGTGATTTATCAGAGAAAAAGCTCTGTTTTCAAAAAAGGTTCTGTAATAAATTTTATGTGTGGAATATACTTATTTCTTGAGAGAGGATTTTAACTTATTGTTTCTATTTTAAGGTTACATATGATGATAACCTGTTATTAATCTTTTTCTAAAAAGTGAAAAAAAAAGATACATGAACTTAAGGTCCCACACTCTGTATTTGGGATCCATATGAGATGCATGCTAAGCTATGTATGTTTTTAATTTTGCACTGCTCTTTCCTGGCAATTTGTTTTAATGATTATTGCAAAATATTAAGGTACATATTTCTTGGTTTTAGTAATATTGCACTTTATAAAAGAGTATGAATAAAGCAAACTGTTTTATGAAGTGCACTGTGTAAAACATATGTACTATATTTCTATCATTTTTTCCATTATGTACTTTAAATTTGTCCTCACATCCCTCTTCTACTTTGTATGCAACAAGTAGAATGGGACATGTTGTATAATGTAGTCATTAGCCACTTATGCAGCAGTGTGAGGAAAACCTAAAGGGAAATTATACTAAACACTGTGCTTCATATTTGTACACTGTGTTGTACTACAGTGAGACATTTCCTCCTGTAGTCATATATTATGTACATAATATTTTAGAATCATACCTATGACTCATTTTGAAATTTTTCTGTTAAATTTTAAATCCAGAAAACATATTTTATAAACTTATGCAGAGCACTTTTATTGCTCAAAAGTTCTGAATTCATACAGAAAACAAGTGCTATATGATGAAGACATTTCATTGAAAGATTGCTGCATTTACAAATACAATTCATTAATTCCCTATGCAAAAAAAAAAAAAGGGATAGGATTTGTATGTTATATTTTCTTTTAAAGCCATCACATGAAATGTCAGGACTGAGAAAAGTGATCTTTGCCGTGTTTACAGGAATCATGCTTAAAAAGATAATGCCCAACATGTTTATTTTATAGTCTTTGTTAATGATAACCTCTTAAGCATTAGTTTGGAATTTTGGCATGATGTTTATTTATTCCTTTCTTGAGGTAATAGCAGCATTAATTTCAACCAGTTATGAATACTAAAAATATTGCAATCTATGTAATAGTAGTATATTTATTACTAAATCAATGTATATATTAATAGCACAGTCAACAAAAATGGCAGATATTAAAATATTTTCAAATTATTGTATTATCCTGTTCACATTTTTGTCCACAGTGGTTATTGGGAATAACTTTTTATACTTTTCACTGGCCCAAATGGCTACATAATTCTCATTGAGTTAGTGAAAGTTTTATACTCCTAGCTTTCAGTCATTTCTGATAATGATGGGAAATTTTCTGTGAATTATTACCAAATTATAGATAATTTACAAAATGTGATTCCATCAGGCATGGATTTATAATAATTAAGAAAATGTCTAGTTATATTTATATTGGGTATATTTGGAATACATTTGGAAATATGTAAGTTCGCTCTTCAAGTCATTTTTAAAACCATGAATCATGGTAGAAAATACTAGTTATAAAGTACAAACTAAAGAGACTGTGTTGCCAGTAGAAAGTGATCCAGAAAAGTGGTCAAACAGTATACCTTAATGATTGATGATGTGATTGGCTCATTGTGAATATTGGAAATTGATGAGTTTCATTTTCATTTATTTCCCTTGCCTCTTCTGGAGGACAGACAATTAAATGGGTGAAACGGCAGACAGAGTAAGAGGAGGAAGGAAAGATAAGGCTTTCTGTCAACAAGTGATCCTGCCTGAGTAATCCAGAATGGGCTTTCAAGAAGACCTCAAAAAAACAGTGTTGTACTCTTACCAAATATCTTCAGCTTCACTTTCCTTATAAATACCAAAAAGACAGCACTTGATGCTAAATGTCAGTTAAGTTATATGAAGGCTCTCTGTTAGTGAATTGCACTTTAAGATTCACAACATTTTCATTTAGTTACATCAAAAATAAACAATAAAAAAATACTTTATATAAAAATGTTAAATGGAAGGACTCCTTTTGGTAGTAGGAGTAAAATAGAAATAGATGTAAAAAAAAAAAAAACCAAATATATACATTAAATTCTCTTTACGATGTTAATTTTGAAGATAGAGCCAAATCACTCCTTCCCTTCTTCCCTTATTAATTGTATTGTATGTAATTTTCATACATCATAAATCTCATAAATCCTGATTCATATAATGTATTTTGTAACTATATATGCCTAATTGAGAGGTAAGAATAAGAAAAGAAAGGTAATAGAGGAAAGACATTAAGAAAGCACAGTTTCAGGGCCGGCCCGTGGCTCACTCGGGAGAGTGTGGTGCTGATAACACCAAGGCCACGGGTTCGGATCCTACATAGGGATGGCCGGTTGGCTCACTGGCTGAGCGTGGTGCTGACAACACCAGGCTAAGGGTTGAGATCCCCTTACCAGTCATCTTTTTAAAAAAAAAAAAAGAAAGAAAGCACAGTTTCTTCTAATGACTATGCCTGTGGGTGAATGAGTTAAATGAGCTATTTTGAAATTCATTAATTCTTCCAAACTTCTATAAAATGAGAAACTACTTAACTACTAGAATAGAAAATCAGTCTCCTGAGCTATTCCCAACATGCTTGTCTGTCTTGGAGTCACAGATTTAACCCATGAAAAACTGCCTTTTAATTTTTTCTAGATTACTGATGATTTCTTAAATAAGTATGTAAGTGGCTACATTTTAAATATAAGGTAAGTCATTTTAAAGAAGCCTACTAGGATAGCAGTGACTGTTTTCTTAAATAAGGAAACTCCTTTTGTATCTCACTATTTTTTAAGTATGTTCTCAGATACTTCATAAAAGTATGCCATTTATTATCTACTTATTCACCTTGCCCCCATTTCAAACTCCTGTTATTGTCATATTTATTAAGAACAGGGTGCTTCACAATGGTGAAAATGTCTAAATTGTTGGCTGTATATGTGCCTAAGATCACCTGATTACTTTGAGTGTTCTCCCAGTGACTAATAATAATAGCATGATTTGGGTGTTCATGTGATAACACTTCTATTATTCCATAAGTTAAATTTTGATATGCCACTAACATTATGTCAAAATAAGTGTCATGTAGATGAATTATAATAACATAATGAAATACCTTAAAAGTATATGACTTTGGCCTCACAAATTTGCATCAGAACACCCCGATTTCTGGCTTTAATTAATCATATCCCCCACGTGTCCATCCGTGATATCTTTATCTGCCACTAAAATGAATGTAGCAGGCTTTAATGAAATTTGGATTTAAATATGAGTCATTGTAAAACTCAAGAATGGGAAAAAGACATAAGATTAACAGAGGAAGTATATATCAAATAAATATTTTAAGTATAATCTACCCAAATAAAACAGCTGCTACAGCAATATAAAAGCTATCTTATTATATAACTTCACTCCAAATGGTGACATTCTTTAGAGAGAATATTTTCCTTAAGAGTAATGATTTAAATTTTGTTTCTGTGGAAGGAAAAAGTATATTTTCAAGGGGGCAACATCTGAAGAGCATTTGATTAGCCTCACATCAGTCCTCATCTTCCACGTTGCTTACACTTGAGCTTTCAAGGTATTTCTTCTTAGCTCTTTGCTCTGTATGCCCAGCTCCCTGTAATGTAATTAAGTAGTTGACTACTATTCCAAATTTGGCTGTTCATCCTATTTCGTGAATTTGTGAATTAAGTAGATGCTAGTACTTTATATTTTCCTATTAGTAGGCTGAAAAGGAGTAAGAAACTAAAGTGTCTCCCAAATAGATGTGTCTTGGCTTCTTCATACTAGTGCAAAATAGGTACCATTCATTGCTAGCCATTTCCTTTCCATTATTACTTCTAACCTCATGGCAAAAAGCTGACATTTTGTATTAAAAGGAGATTTGTATTAAAAGACCAGATTATTGGTAGTTATTCATCAGGCTTAGTTTTCCTGGTGTATTTCTACTACGATAGATGGAAGGACATTTTGTAATATTTTTCTAGTTAGTCTGCTGCTTGGGTTATCGTATGGCATTGAATATTTTAGATAAGCAAAGTTAGTATTTAATACAGCAGCTTTCTTCAGAGTTCAAGAGACTGGGATAATACTTAGCGTTAGTTGTTTCCATTCTTCTTTTCCATTGCATAACACTTTCAGTTTGTGTGGTTTTATAAAAATTTGACTCTTTACTTAAAAAACACAGTTTCATTCTTGATCCTTCCAACATTGAGCAGTTTTTATCTTTGCATTTATGTTGTAAAGTCCTCCTATATTAAAAAAGAAAAAGAAGAAAACAGAAAGCAAAAAGAAATGTTATGACTTAGAAAAGAAAATTTTTATCTGCAGTTTTATTGTTAACTTTGTAAGAGGCTGGTCATGTAAAATGTGCTTTGCTGTGTTAAAATGGGTATGTGACAATCATCCTCATTAAAGACCTGGTGCTGTGGTAGGTATTTGATTATTCATAACAGTTTATTTTAGGTACTATACTGCTATCCTATTTGCTAAAATTACTGTAAATACTGGTAAAAGGAACGGTCAAATGTACAGTAATTCTCATCCTTTTGGTGAATAAGAAGGGAAATAAAAGGTGCTGCATCACATAAAAAGTTAGTGCTTTAGTACTAAAGTTTTGAAAAATATCCCTAAAAGCCTTAGTGGCATGAATTTTTTTAAAAAACAGGAAACCACATTTACACATAGTTAGAGGAATTTTTTAAACACTGGCATTTTAATGCATAGCTGGTATATACTTCTGTCAAAATGGTATGTATCCTTAGGTGTGGAATTGAAAGCTTGTTGAAAATAATCTAAGCTGCAATAATCTAGTCACTGTTCTTCCACAGCTTTGCATAAAGATAAAAAATTTGTCTTCCTAGAAGGTAAATGGAAGATAAAAAAGATGAAAAACATTGTTTTTCTTCTGTTCCGCATGGACAATTAAAAGTAGAATCAAGATCAGCTCAAGTATTGCCTTCTGAGTCATCTTTCTTCACTGCATCTGTTGATTCCATGCTCAGTGTATGTACTGTTTCTTGCATTGTTTTTCTATTTTCCTATTGTCTGTCCACATACATGAATGTATTCTAACACTGATATTTCATCACTACTTATTAATGTATCTGTGCGTTGACTAACATTTATAAATTATAATTAAGATTGGAGAAATAAAGACTTGATTGGGACAGAGAAGGGAAAACCTTGAGATGAAAATTATTTAGGAATAAGGAAGTAATGATGCTGTAGGAGAGTAAGTAGCCTTATGACTCTGAGATACAAACAATTGCTGTGAACATAGAGAGGGCTACTTTACGAAAATGCTATTTTAATGCCCATATAGATAAACCTCTTTAACAAATTTTATCTACTGTGGGCAAAGAAACCTATTTAACATGTCTATGTAGGCTTTGTAAGTTGATTATTTTCTTCTAGGAGGCCTGTGTGATAACTTTCTCCTCTCTGTGTCCCCCTCCTTTTCCACCTTTTCCCCCTGCCCACTGCCCAAACCACAGACATTTTATGGCCAAAGAGATCAGTCCAAGTGGAGCACTAAGGCTACATACAGGTAGTGATTATATTTTTTAAATTTTTATTGCAATTTGTAAATTGTACAGATCTTAAGTATACAGCTCAATGAGTTTTTATATATGTATGCACCCATGTAATTGCCACCCAGATCAAGATGAGGTTCCCAGTCAATACTCACCACTATTCTGAATTCTGTCACTGTTCTCTGTCGTCTTATAAGTGGAATTGTATAGTCTGTAGTCTTTTGTGTCTGGTTGTATTTGATCATCATTATGTCTGTGAAATTCATCTATGTTGTTGCATGTAGCAATAACAACAATAGTTTGCTCTTTTTCACTGCTGTGTAGCATTCCATCAAATGAGCATATCACAATTTATCCATTCTACTGTTGATGGGCATTTGGGTTATTTATAATTTTTAGCTTTTTGTCTAAAGTTTCCATGAGCATTCTTGTACATATTTTTAGTGAACATGTATGCTTATTTCTCTTGGGTTTATAATAAGAGCGAAACTACTGAGTTATAGGGTGAATATATATTTAGCTGTAGAAGATATTGCTGAATAGTTTTCAGCAGTGGTTGTACCAGTTTACATGCCCACCAACAATGTATGAGTTCCGGTTGTTCCACTTCTTCATCAGTACTTGGTGCCACCA